GGATGTGGAATCATTAGTAGATAAAGCCTTGCTCGGGGAAAATCGCTGGGGGCGGGCCTTGGAGTTTTATAGTTCATGACACTTCCTGTTCACTGGACTGCAGGTGCAATATGAATGACTGGCCTATTCCTGCCGCCAGGCCTTCCTGTCCGTAATGGTATATCTCCCACTAACTATACGCCTTCCTTCTTTCAGTTGCTTCTTGCCGGACATCTCGTCGTAACGGTAAGAGTAGTGGATACTACTGCAGTTTCACTTTGATAAAATGAAGTGCGAGGGCAAGTCCAGCCCCTCCATCATGTTCTCACCAGGTCCTTCACAAGAGCTGCCTAGCCGCATGCATGGAGCACAGGCCCACCTGTCACCTCTTCTGGAAAGACTCCTGAAGACATGGGAATCAAGGAAAAGAAGCACCCCTCCCTTGCTAACCTGGGCCTCCTGGCTTTGTATTGCCATCACCTTCCACCCACTGAGCTCCTCCTTGCTAGAGGGAGGCCAAGTCCAAGCCATTTTTACCCTGCAGAATGGCTGGTACATGGGGGTGAGGGAACCACATACTTATTCCTTTCTTTTCCTTAAAAGAAGCCTTGATCCAAAGCAAAAATAAGGTGCAAGATGCTTATTTCACATTATTATATTTTTTTTTAAAAAAAAAGAGCAACTCTAGCGCAGTCTCTTTTTAGGTCCTGATCCCAGAGGCCCCCTGAGAATGAACTCTGCTCTTTCCACGATCAGACTCCCTTCTTGTTTTTTAGAACCAGAGCGAAACGGGCTAGCAAGAGGCACTATTGTACCAGCTGATTTAAATTGAAGTGTTTTCCCTAGATAAATGCGTGCTAAATAATACACCAGCTCTCCAAGCCAAGGGAAGTGACAGGCACTCTGTAAATAAAGGCACTTAGTTGCTGGTAAAGAGCTGTAAAGTGGTTCTGAGCTGATGTTTGCTGACCAGCAAGAAGCAGCTTCACCTGCTTTATGTAATTGTCACTGCAGTTTTGCCTGCTGTATATTAAAACTGCATCTCATAGACCCAAATGTCACATTGGATATACCATCCCACATGGAATGTGCCACCTTCTGCTGTAATTGTTTTTGACAGCCAGCCATCACATCTCTTCTCTTTCCAGAAAGTGTCTGGTGCAGAATCCCTACGCTGGGTCGGTTCTGACACCATGTGGGCTAGAAAAGGCGACGCTAAAGGGGAAGGGGAAAAGAAGCAAAGAATAACACGCCATGGCAAGTGCACAGACACAAATCCTCACCGCAGAGGCCGGGCTCCCTCAATGCTAATATGCCCTTTTCTTGTTCAGCTGCAGATCTTCAGAACAACTGCACACACGAGCACTCTGCCACAAGGGCACAGCATTCTCTTCCGTCCACACGTCTGAACCCAGCTGGGTTCTGGAGAAATAAAAACATGGCTCATGCATGGGTCAAGGCAGCTGTGGGGTTTTGTCCAGGACCACAGGACACATCATAATGAAATGGGCCTGGCAGGTCCTAGAAACCTCTTTGATTTCCACTCGGGGGACGTGAGATATATTTCCCAAAATGCAAAGAGCAACATGATGCCTTTGTTGCCCATAATTGCAGCTTCCCTTAGAGTGTGGACCTGTCAGATACCTGGGTGGAGAAGCAAGTATGAGGCCGCTGGGAATACGAGCTAGTCAAAGAGGTCTCAGAGACGGGAAACAGCAGGGACATTCAGCGCCCCTATATAGTGCATGACTAAAAGGGACTCAAACAATTGGGTACAGGGTGAGCTCCAGAGGTGTGCAGTGGGGAAGAGACACTTCTTGCTATTGGAACTGCCACTGGACCACTGCTATTGGGATATCAGAGTGATACCAGAGGATGATGCAGAGGCTAATAACAGGGTAGGAGATGACAAAGTGAGAAAGAAAAATGGAGTATTTTGGCTACCAAGTGATGTGGGATTCCCCTCTGTATGCTGTGAACATGATTGGTTAATTAATAAAGAAACTGCTTTGGACCTATAGCAGGGCAGAACCTAGGTAGGCAGGGAAAACTAAACTGAATGCTGGGAGAAAGGAGGCAGAGTCAGAGAGAAACCACGTAGCCCATCAGAGACAAACACTGGGAACTTTACAGCCACGTGGTGTGATACACAGATTAATGGAGATGGGTTAAATTAATATGTAAGAGTTAGCCAGTAAGAAGCTAGAGCTGATGGTCCAAGCAGTAATTTAATATAGTTTCTGTGTGATTATTTCGGTTCTGGGCAGCGGGAACCAAGAAGCAGCTCTCTCCTTCTACAACCAAAAGTTTCCATACTGTGTCCTTAGGAGTAGAGCTGACTGCTGGTGTCCAGGAGACACCTGCTGAATAATACTGCTGACCCGAGGTTAAGAGAAGTACTGCCTGTCAGGCATGCATCTCACGTTCTGCCTTCCTCTACTCTTGGTGTCCTTCTCATTCATTCGGGCCATAAGATGAATACTGCATGCTACCTGGTGGATATTGACAACAGAGAGCCCCTTCTGGCTATTCAGGATGCACAGACTTCCGGATCAGGACTTCTGATTCGTATGGTGCCCTCTTCCTTAATCTCCCCAAGTAGTGGGAATGTTGGGTATTTCTAAGGTCTTTTTTTTTACACGTTTCGAGAGCACTGTCTTTGTTACCTAGTTACCTCCTCAAATTCTCACCTTTCCAGGCTTCCCTATCTCAGGTTAGCATTTGTATACACAAACAGTTGAGAGTCCAGCATCTGACTGCCTCAGCGTGTGCACTTCCACACACAAAAGAAAGACATCCCTTCCTTCTTCTCAGAGAAGAAGGAATGTCTCTTCTCCCTCCATGTCTCTTGTTGGAACTTATTCCCTTTGCTTATTCCTGATTTCCTTAATATCCAGGCCGTTGAGCACAGGGGGAAGGGAGGATTTTGTGAGTTGGGACACTGTACAGAATTTGAGGTAGGATGAAGTTTAAAGGGAGCTAGATGGAACATCTTTATAACTACACATGGGTGCGTTGTCAAACATCTGCAGGAGGAAAGAAGGGCTTCCCTGCCTTCTTCTGTTCTCACCGTCTCGACCCAAAGGGAGAACTGCTCCTTTCAAACCTTTCCAGCTCCCTCGCTACTCCCTCCCAGGACAGGAGGCATGTCTGGACTAGCTGATCAGCATGTTCAGTGCCCTGGGTTTGTTAGTGTGAAGATGTCAATAGCTTTAGAGCAGCTTGTACCAGTCACCTGGGGAGCTCATTAGAATGCACATCTGACAGGTAGTTTAAGATGGGCCACGAGAAGATGCCTCTCCAACAGGCTGCCCTAGGTGATGCTCACACCAGGGTGAAGGCGAGGAAGACAAATTAAAGAGCAGGGGCTTAAAGGCAGGTACCACATACCAGCTTGCTGAATTCACCCCCAGAAAGGTGAGTTTACTGTCTTTCCACATCCTTTCTCCCCAGTGTTCCCCAGGCAAACTGGGCAGGAAGGAAGTTCTATGTCCTGTGTGTGCAGCCTGACAGAACTTAGAGTCTGTCTCAGGGCCTTGGCATGTTGCTCTCTTGCATGGCTGTGCCAAGGTCTACATTTGAGAGTATCAGGCAGGATAGTAGAATGAAGAGGTCAAAATTAAGCCACAGGCAAGGTTCTGTCAGAAAAATGGAGGCAGGAAGTGACTCAGCCAGAACAAGAGACTGAGCCAACCTTTGAAGAGTTGCAGAAACCCAAGTCAAGGAGGCCCTGATTCCCCATTCCACAAAAAGAGCAAAGAGAGAGGCATTATACTCCCCAGGGGATGGCCTGCACCTCTTCTCCCAGAGCCCAGCAGCAAGGCCACTGACTCTCTGGATACTCTTGCAAGATAAGCTTTGAATATCACTGCTGCTCATGGCCCCAATGTAAAGTAGCATTAAGGCCTTTCCTTCCTTTTCACTTCCCCAGTCCCCCTCCTCAGCACCCTTCTTCAATGGCCAGCTTGCAGTGCAAGGAAGAGAACCTGCAAGTGGAAAGGTTTGCAGGTACTGTGTGTCCTGGTTTTATGGCCAATCTGGGCAGAAGCAAGAAGAGGCTGGTAATGCTGGGCTGCTCAAAGATAGCAGAACACTAAGGTCTTAGTTCCACAATTCAGTGAATCTTCCAGAAAGGCCTGCATGTGGAGGCCACCTACCGATAAGGAGCTTCCTGCCCTAGCAGCTGCAGTCCCTCTCAGGCTTTGCTTCTTGGAATGACAGGAGTAGGGCTCCCTTTCAGCAGTCAACCATACCCATCCAGCAGGCCCTGCATGTCCTACACAGAGCTGTCACACAGAGGAAAATACTTCATCTCCTATCCTTCCTGATCCCGAGTCCCAGGGCCACTTATTATGGGGTTACTTGCTGTGCTGATTCCCTGAGACTACAAGAAGGCCTCTTTACTTGAAACGACCTGTCCAAAATCCCAGAGTAAATGACAGGGAAGACTGGGGCCAAAAGAAAAGGCAGCTGTGTGTCATTTAAGGCCTCTCTGCCTCCTACAGTAAAATGCACAGGCCAACAAGCGTCATTCCTTGCTACATGACTTCAAGTATCTTCCTCATCCCTACTCTTTAGAGATCTCCAACCTTAGGAGTCCTGGATGTGACCCTAACCATAGCAAAGCTTAACACTCCCATTTCAGCTCCATGGAAAAGTACTCACAGGGAAGGGACCAAGAAGTATAAAGCTAGCATCTTTAATTGTTCTGGCACTTAGGCAGTGACCCTGGTCATAAAGCCCCTTCTTTGCAAAGGCCAAGAAGGTGACTATTTAAAAACTCCTTTATTGCATAAAAAAGGTAAGAAACTGGAGGGAGGGAGACATACACCAGGGTTCAGGTCTACATCTCCAGATGGCAGGAAGAACAGATGCTCCTCTCTAAGCCATTGTGGCGACCACAGGTTTCACTGCCAGACAGGCTGATGTGAGCCCCTTTGAATTACTGAGTGAAGGATATCCCTCTTGCCAGCCCCTGTCCCCCATAGGCACAGCAGAGAAGTATTACAGGCTGTCCTTACCTTGGGAATTAGCCTGCAAGACCCCGATGCTGTCATCAAACTGCATAGATTTGATGTTGAGTGACGCCAAGATGCATTCCTTGTCCTGAAGCGAAGTATCATCAATATTATTCTGATTGGCTGACAGGATAACGCACATGTCACAGAGGTTGATGTTGACAGCCCTTAAATCAGCCCGACTTAATGGCGTACCCTTTGGCATGGGGGTGGTGGAGAGAGAGAGAGAGAGAGAGAGAGAGAGAGAGAGAGAGAGAGAGAGAGAGAGAGGGAGAGGGAGAGAGAGAGAGAGAGGGAGGGAGGGGAGGGAAAGAAGGAAAAAATAAAAACAAATTAAAGATTGAGCTGGAGCTTTGGGACATTATTTAACAAGTATCTTTTTTATGTCTTGACATTAAGCTGGCCTAACTACATTTCAGGGAATAAGGGCTGCACGCTAATCTAAAGGGTAGTCGGTGCTGATGGCAGCATTTCAGGCCAGCTCTCAATACTCAATCAAGCTATTACTAACAAACGCGAGACGAATAATGCCAGGGTCTCCATCTTCCTCCTGCCTGGAAATTGTCTTGATTTAAGTAACTGTCCTGTGGCAACCTCTGCCTTTCAGAACATAACGAGGGGGTGGGTTTCAAATGCCTGTTTATTTAATAGCAGGTCACTTCTGTCTCTGGCAAAAGACAGCATATCCGATTAGAATTTCGAAAGCAGCCATGGGGAAATCAGCAAAACAGGGTGTGATGAGGTGGGCTTCTGGCTCTGCTCAGTCGGAAGGCTGCAGGAGCCAGTGGAATCAGTGTGCATTTTGCAAAGCAGAGAGGGCAAGCTTAGGGCCGTAAAATTCTATTGCATATTTTTCAGTAATTAAAAGAAATGCCAAGGAAACTACATAAATATCCGACAACATAAGATTTTGGACATACCTATACAGTCGACATGTGTACTGCAAGGACAGCCAGAGCTACCCCTCTATATACCCACTGAGCTGGAATAATCTCCAAGATAATGGAACAGTAAGTGGTGGGAGGTGGGGATCGAGAACAATTTAAAAGTTTAACCCCGTTTATTTGGAAAAAAACGAAGCTGCTTGAAGTAAAACATATATTTATAAAAGTATGCAAATTCAGGGAAAACTCAGGAAAAACTATACACTAAACTAATAACAGTAATTACCTCTGGGAGAGGAAAGGAGGAAGTGGAAAGTTTGCTTTCGACTTTATATACTTCTATATTGTTTGAATATTTTATAACAAGAACTGATTTGTATATTACTGGTGCAATTAAAAATAAATAAGCCCGTGAACAGAGATTTAAAAAACCCATGACAATGGGAGACAGCAGAAAATCCTCTGCAGACGAAGGTTAATGACGGAGAGCAATCACAGCTATGAGAGCACCAGCACTCTTACACAGTGTCCTCCCAAGGACGTCCCAGTACAACTACCTGGACCATCCCGTTCCAGAGCACTCAGCAGCCATACAGCATTATTTTGGGGGTCCCATCAAGCCATCATCATAACTGATATTCTAGATTTATTTATATTTTTCCTTAAAATGGGATATGGATACACCAGTTTAACCTACAGCCTGTATTAGCCAAGTATTTGCCAGCTGCTGTATGCATCTCCTCTTGTTTCCATCACTAGATGGGCTTTCGGAAAATAGGACCTGGATAATACTATGGAGCCCATCAACTCTTTTTATGACTTAGTGGATGTCTGGAGTCCAGGGCTCCTAAATATTGCTACCAAGTGGAGCCACAGAGTAAGGGCAAGTAGAGCCATAGGTGTAAAGAAGGTCCTGGTCCAGGTACTGGAGCAGTACCTCGGGAGAAGGAGAGAAAAACCATCTTCTATGATCACAACATTAAGTGTGACCAACTTTCTGTATCACATTGCTATGTATAAACAGCAGCTGTCTATGTCCATATTCTCTTAATTTTCACCTTACAGGGAACTCAGCATTAATTGTAATGTAAGGGAACCCGTGTCCAGTTGCAGACATAGGAGTTCAAACCACAAGAATTCCAAGGACATCCACAGAAAGCTTTTGTGTTTCTATCGGTTGCACTCATTTGAGTGACACAGTTTAAACAATGAAGACACGGACCAGGCTTATAATGTACCAGTGCTTAAGTGTGCTAAATTTGGGGGGATTTGTAAAGGCTCTACAAACGGAAGACTCATCCCGACTTACAGAGGAAGGTGAGTAAATGTGCATGGGGCACACAGAAGGAAACACACACATATGCACAAATACCAACGGTCATACCACAAGCCCCATCTATATACACATACACTCTTGCATCTAGCAAATGAGTTCACTTTTAACAGAGCTAACTTCAGAGGTCAAGGGATCACATGGAATAGCATATGTAAGATGATGATCACAGAAAGGTATAATCAAATTGAGCATATTTCTGAATCTAGCAATGTACATGCAGTATATGTGTATGTTCGTCCAGTGAGTGAATCGTAACAGGTCTTCAACTACATGCATACTTTAAAGAAGTCAGGTTTTGGTCCTGCATTCAAAGGAGATCAGCCTAATGTTTCTTGCACTTTTTGATACTAATGGGGGACTTGTGCCAAGCATTAGAGGAGATACATGGCTACACTGGCGTGCTGACTGAGGACAGCTCCTTATAGATGCTTTAACACATTATATTGCTTAGCTCTTGTTGCTGCATTTCTGAGGCTCTGGAAGCTGATAAACAGTAGAAAAATCTAAGAGGTTGCATATCCCCAAATACTATAAATTAAAATTAACAGAATAGTTGGAGGATCCAGGCATTGCTGGCACACGCCTTTAATCCAAGCACGCAGGAGGCAGAGGCGGGCAGATTTCTGTAAATTCAAGGCCAGAACAGCCAGAGCTATATTGTGAGTCCTTGTCCCAAAAATCCAAAAAGGAAAAAAATTATTAGAGGATAGGTAATATTTTCCTGAATTTGTGACAAAGACAACCACATAAAATTTTGAAAAGAATAATATTCTGTAAGTCTATAATTTAATGGAGAATATATTATAATTTGAAAGTGGCTAGTTATATGACTTTTAAATCATTCATCTCATACCTGCACATTAAACTATGGAGTCCCAAATTGTCTTTTGTAGATTGGTGATCTTTTTAATAAAGAGGACATGATATATATGCATATATATACATTATATGTGTATGTATATATGTCTGCATATATACACATATGCACACAAAGCCATGGAAAAAAAAGGTGGGGCAGAGGTTGGTCCACAGAAGAGGTTTGGAATTCCATACAGTAGAGATAATTCTCCCCTTTATTTATTTGATCAATATCAGAAGAAAGATGGAACGGATCAGCATTTCTCTAAGAATTAACCCCGTCAAATTAAAATGCCAACGGGAATCTTATAAGTGAATTCTAGATGTGTATATCAAAACAGGGCAACACTCAAAATTTCACCTAGGAAAGAGGATTTAGACACTGGTATGGTTAATGCATGTGGTGGTAGCTCAACTTCACCCCTGACAAGAGGCTGCACTTGGCTGCAAATTCCGTTTAATAAGGCCTCCCAGGGTTCTGACTTTCTTGGCATAGCACAGGAGGACTGCCTCATCCTCGGGCCTGAAACCACATGAAGGAGCAGAGGCAGGATCAAAGCTTCAGCAATTACAGCCACCTGGGATTCCCTTTTGTGAATGAAAAGATGAAGAGAAAACATCAAATAGTGTGACCTTGACTTACAGGCAATATGGACACTTTGGGGAAGTTGTGCAGGGTCTCCCACTCTCGCTTGAGGTACTCGATGGAGCCCACAAACACAATGTGTTTCAGCTCATGGTAGTGAAAGTTGCTAGCACGGAGCGGCATCACCAGGTTCCGGAGGCCAATCAGGGCTGAGCTGACATCCCCAAAGATACAGACTACAACATGGCCACTCAGGACAGTCATGGCGGCTTCACTTCGAGTCTGTAACAGAGGGAAGTGCAAGACTATCAGAGAGGAGAGGTCACAACAGCGATATAAAAAGAAAAAAGCAGCATTTGTGTGAAGGAGAATGTTAGTATTGGTTCTGCACTTACTGTGTTCTATTGGTGTGATTTAGGTGTGCTCTGGGTGTTCCCCACAGGCCCACTGTTATCAAAGTCTTTGTCTCCAGGGTGGCATTACTGTATGGCAGAAGGCCTGTGAGTTGAAGCCACACCTTACTGGATGTAAGAGAGTTCTCATGTGTCCTCTTGAGTTCTCCAGAAATGACCAGTATGAAAAGAGCAAACCTGGACAAACCCATCTCATTTCTCTCTGGTGATATCTGCTTCTCTACCTTCCTGCTGTGATCATCTACCAGCCACCAACCTTCGCAGAGACCAGGCAAATGGTGCAGACTTTGAACCTCTTCAAAACTGTGAGCTACCTCTTCTCTTCACAAGTTAGCTGTCTCCGGTATTTTACCATACAACCCCAAAGATATCCAACACAACTATTATTTGTACTGTGATAAAACAAATGTTTAATTTAGTTCACAATAATAGAAAATAAGTGATTCTTCAATATCAAATATAAAATTGCACAAGGTACCCATTCTAATGGAGAAGAGTATACTGGGGGAGAAGGGGAGGATGCTAAAAAGATAAAACTCAGGTTGCCATGTGAGTCCTTTTATAATACCATTTTTTAGGAAGTTAAATGCTGGTTTAAACCTCCATCCCCATCATGTTAAAGAGGATATAATTTTTTCTAATAATTTTAGTGTATACAGTAAGTATGCATGCAGAGAAAGAGCCATCTTTCCTTCTTGATTCTATTTATTGTTAAAGTATATATAAAATAATACTGGCAAGGCTTACAAGACAGCTATTATTCCAGCTTTGTCATTATATCCATGTTATACATTCATCTCTAATTTGAGCAAAGGCATACACTATATATATTTATCTCATAACTTCCTGTACACATATGCCCACACATTACCACCTTATTGAACAATAGATTTAAGAACTATGTGCCATGTAGACCTTTAAGCAGAAGAGTGTATATCAATCTTTAGGAGAGCAAAGAGAAGAAAAGGGATGTTTATGTATGTGGGAAAAAAGGCCTTAATGTCCATGTTCACAAAAGAGCCTTTTGTGAAGATGATTAAACGGTCCTACTCATTGGTTTGTGTCAGCTGAAATGCGGGGTTCTCTTTTGAGATGTTTCAGTGAGATGGCACAGTCCATCTCGGTATTAGTAGATAGCATGTGATATCTGAGGCCAGAGGCTAGCTGCTCTGACCTGTAGCCTCAATCTGCTAATACCCCACAAGCTTCGAGACATCCACTGAGTGAAAACTAGCTTTTAAAATTCACAATGACTAAGAAGAAAAACAAAATTAGAAATACCATCATGAGTGACAATAACATGAAATTCACATCTTAATAAAGTTTTATTGGGACACGGTCAACTCATAATGTTTAGGTATTTTCCATGGCTACTTTCATGGAAAGTAAAATTGACAGTTGTGACAGAGATCATATGGCCTGTGAGTCTTAAATCACTGAATATACTCCTCTACAGAAAAGGTAGGTGGGCAGTGATGATGCACGCCTTTAAACCCATCACTTGGGGAGCAGAGGCAGGCAGATCTCAGTGAGTTCAAGGCCAGTGTGGTCTACAAAGAGACTTCCAGGACAGCCAGGACTACACAGAAAACCCCTGTTAAAAGAAGAGAGAGAGAGAGAGAGAGAGAGAGAGAGAGAGAGAGAGAGAGAGAGAGAGAAGGTACATTAACCCATGTTCAGACGTTGGGGTTTCCTGGATCATGCCTAGAAAGGATCACCCTATATAAACACCCACTAGTAGTCATTACAAGGGTCTAGAGTTCAATGAGTGAAGACAGAGGCCAATGTCTTTCCCCAGTCCCTGCCCTGGGTCCACAGGGGTGATAAAGTAAGCAACACGTCTATGTAGGGGAGGACCCCAAATATCCAGAAAATACAAATGGCTATCCGTCCATTGCTGGTCTATTGTTCACCATACAGATGAAAAGAATAAGAGAATGAGGTCAGGATGGGGTGGTGCTCTGTTTCTCCTTCTAGTCAACACTTTCAACCCCCTGCCATCTTTTCTCACTGCATGCTCATAAGGTCTATGAGGCTCACAATGCATTGGGGGAAGCATATTCATGCCCACAGCACATACCAATCTCTGTTTGATTTAATCCTTAGCATTGATCAAGGTATTGATTGCTTAAATGCCAATATTGCAATTCAAGACAATGTCAGGGTTATTACAGTAACCCCTGAGGAGAGGAGGAAGTTAGCCTTTATTCTCTGGTTATTCGAATAAAGCCGGAGCTATCATCATGGCCACTTTCCCAGAGTAGAAGGGAAACCTGAGACACAAGCTGTAAGAAATTTCTCATGAAAAGTGACTGAGAAGGCATGGAGCTCCCAGCAACTCTTCCCACTTTGTGGGGAAGACAAGGAGTTAGTCAGTCAGGTTGCATGAAAGCCCTCTGGGGTTGTTATCACTGAAGCTCCTGAATATCTTCAATTGGCCTTGTCAGCTGGGAAGCTAGTTCTCAACAGGGAAGTGCAAATGGGGTGAAGAATAGAAGCTGGAAATCAAAAATGCAAAAAAGAGCTAGACACCAGCTGGCAGAATGGTCCAGGCACAGAAGCTAGCCTTGGGATCTTAGGTAGGCCTGGGGCACCTACCAATTCTCTAGTCTGCCAGAGCTATACCCCCAGAGGGAGGTGTAAAGGACCAGTCCTGCACCTCAGACCTGGAGAGTCTGATTTGTCCACGCTTAAGACCCTACAGAAAAAAAAAAACAGGCATTTCTCCATGCACCCTCCTCCAACCCCTTCTGAGTAGGTTTACTTATATTTGATGGGACGTCCCTGGCTACTTTAATCCTTGAGTCTAAAGAATCTGAGTTCATCCCACTTAGCTCAGAAAGTTTGTTTCATGGTTCATTTTATATTTCCTTTCTAATCAGAGGACTGTCTCGTCTATATCTGAATTGCCCAAAGCCATTAGATCCCCGCACTCAGGGGATAAATGGCTTGTAATAGCATCTTCACACAAGGGCTGCATCCCATTCTTCTCATCCACACACTGGATGAAAATTCCATCTACTCATTACTACAGAGAGGGTTTCTTGGATCTTACTGATCAGTAGTACCTCTGGACTCCGCCCTTTCCAGGATCCTGCTTTATTTGCTTCACCAAGCCCTCGCTCATATCTAACTTGTTCTCATGGACTCACTCACCTCCCCACTGGCCTTCCCTCTGCTTCACTAGAATGAAAGTTCTGCACACCATCAGAACAAGAACAGTACCAAACACATGGTGTGTTTGCATCAATGCTTCTTCAAATGATGCTGTTTTTCAGATGAATTTGTCCTCCCTAAATTCTTTCCTTCTACAAGGGGATACTGATCACATGTCAATTAGCACACTTTCTGTAGATCATTCTGGACCCAGGTGGAGCACACAGCATATGATTAGGCCATAGGTGACCAACCACAAAGTATCTAAGTGGTTAGAACTCTCTCCCCTTCTGGCAAATCAGCAGCGGCTGTTAGCTGAGCATTTGACTTCATGTACTGTAGTCTTCAGTTTTCACAGCTCTGAGAACCTCCAGCAAATGCTATCTTGGCTCACAATGATCTTTTACAATTCATTTGAAAACACACACACTGGTTAAAATACTGTGGGGGAAATCTAGTGGATTAGCACACAAAACAATTTTAAGCAACTGGAATAGTCCTTGCTAAGGAAGGGTGGTCCTAAAATTGAAAATGATAGGATTTTCCTAGCTGAATATGGAGTAGGCCCACAGCCATCTGGGGATTGGAGGTCCAAGGGAAAAAGAGCCCCATCTGACTGGCCTTCCTAACTAGCAACCCATTTTTCATGGATTAGCAAAACAATAAACTCTAGGAAAGCCAATGTAGACATTAAAACCTAAAGTTATTAACAGGACAAACAAAAAAAGTACAATGGATTTCTCTCTGTGCTAATGTTCCTGGGACAGAACAGAGAAGGCTGCTATTTCTAGAGATGTTTGCAAGCCATCCCTGAAGCAGTACTCTGAGATCTGAGATCTGGATGGTGGACCACGGTCCGGCAATGGCATCCTGAGCAAATGCACTTGCCTATCTGTATCATGTGCTAAGGACCGAAAACATGTTAGTTAAGAAACATTACTGTAGGTCTGGGGAGATGGTTTGGTTGATAAAGTTAATTGCCACATAAGCTTGAGAATCTGAGTTTGATTCCTGGTACCCACATTAAAAATCAAAAGCTGGAGACAGCTGAACCAAGCTCATGGAAACTTATGAACTCTAGACCAACTCTGTGGAGCCTCTGTGGGCCCTCCGTATGTGGGAGACAGTGGTGAAGCTCAGATTACCTGAGGGGTCCCTGGTAGTAGGACCAGGATCTATCCCTGGTGCTTGAGCTAGCTTGTTAGAGCCCATTTTCTACAGTGGGATATCAGGTTCAGCCTCAACAGAAGCAAGAAGAGGCCTAGCCCAGTCCCAACTTAATGTCCCAGACTTTGTTTACTCCTGATTGGAGTCCTTACCCACTGGGAGGAGTAGATGGGAGGGGGAACCGAAAAACTGAGTTAGAATGTAAACTAAAAGTTTAAAAAAAGTAAAATAATTTAAAAGAAAAAGCTGGATATAGTGGAGCATGCTCAAAATTCTAGTGCAAGGGAGGTGGAGGCAGGATGCCCAGAGAACCACTGGCCCTCTAGTCAAGCTGAATCACTGAGCTCCAGGTCCAGGGAGAGACCCTGACTCAAAAGAGAAAGTAGAGAATGATTGAGAAATATACCTGATATTGGTCTCTGGCACATGTGTGTGCACACGGGCAAACACACACACCAAGTGCACACATAAATATACATATACCAAAAAAATCCAAAAATTTCTTATAACAGAAAATAATGCAGTTAATATTACTAGAATAATCACGACACTAGCAAGAGGGAAGAAAGATGGTGCCTCCGTGGACTTTCACAATCATGAAGCTTGAGCAGTTCGCATCCATCTCCTCACACGTAATGTGATTAAAATGCACTGTCGGACAACCGGCCTAAGGCCATGAAACGACCAGATGGCAGAGCAGATGAAGACCAGGAACGGCACGCATCCCACCTCCCGTGAGACCTTGTGACAGGACATAACCACTACTATTGTCCTGATGAAAATGGAGAGACTGAAAATTCTGCTCTTGAGAGAAAAATGAACAAAATTCTCCTTTAAGCTTAAGTTCTGATCCAAGATCTAGTCACCTCGATCTTTGCTCAGAATTTTAGTTATCAAAAATAGCTAGGGCAAAGTTACAGTGGACTCTGCTACTCAGTCAGGAAATCTACTCTGAGCAAAAGTTATCAAGCCAGGCAAAGGGGAAGGACACCCAGTCCACATTCCCTTACTCACCAGGATGACTTTCTCGATCTCCTTGGGTGCACACCAGTGAAACATCCCAGTGGAGTCGTACTTTTTCACATTGGAGTCCATGTTGTCAATCTGATCATTGCCAGGGATTAACAAGGGGTCATGCCTGGGGAGAAAAGGCAGCAAAACCTAAGTGGAAAATGCGATAAATAATAAATGCAAAGGGTCCTCAACTTACATCTCGGAGGAGATGACAGATGCCGAGAAAGTGGCTGTCACCAATGGCCATCTTCCTTCTCTCCTGCAGAGCATGTCCCCTGAAAGGCAGCTGCCCAGACCACACACCCCTTTGGATGGCATTTGACTATGTCAGGTAGTAATTCTGCCTTTCTCCTGCCTATTTTGTAAATGTGCTTCATGCCACTTTGTGGGGTTAGCTTCACTTTTTATGATTATCTCATTCCTTGTTGTCTCGTTTTACTAGCTATCCACCTTCCCCAGCACACACACACACACACACACACACGCACACGCACACACACTCACACCCCAAAGAGTTGCTATTAGCATTGGCAATGAAGAGGAAGGAATAGGAATAGAGCATCGTGCTGGCTGACTGGCATCAGGATGGAAAGCCAATTACTCGCTCTTTCTGACTACAACTTCTGACACGATGCTCTTCGCAGTAAAAGCTTTAACAGGCTGCACTTTAAATATTTTAGCAATTTGCCCAATCAGATTTCGCTCTCCCCAGCTGAAGGCCTTTAAAGATTCAACAGCGTGTCACTTCAGAGCAGATTGACTACCAAATGTCCACATCTGGAATACATGATTTCAATACTAAACAACACCCTCTCTCCTTGCCTTGACAACTGTATTTGTGCTTAACTGTCCAATGACAGGGCTCTGCATCCCCACCTTCAATTCCCAACGTAGCATTCCTTGGATGAGAGCCTCAAGCTCTGAAGCATCTTAATAAACTCGTTTCATACTCTCAAGACTACATCCACTCCTTCTGGAAGAATGGCTGTATAGAGGCTGCCCCTCCAGTGAGTCGGCAGGGTCTAACTGACAACCTTAGGAATCACAATGGAATCAGGCAGTTCTCCCATGCACACAGTATAATAAACAAGCCCTCCAGCTCAGGCTATAGTCACCATCTCTGGCTCTATCTTTGATATGGTCAGCCATATCAAAGCTCGTGTGTGGGAAGCTCGTGTTGGCATCTGCAACAACGAACCACAGAAAATTAAGATATTATCCTAAGAAGATCTATCCTGCAACGAAATTATCCTTAAGCCAACTTCAACCAAAGACAGAAACAGATTCAAATTTCAAAATGGTACAGTGACATGATGCTACCTTTAAAATGATGTACTTCAAACATTAAAGAATAGTATTTATTTAAGCTTTTATATTTCTTTCCAAGACATGCCTCGTGTTTCTCATCTCTGTGCTCTGACCATAGAGGGTAGAGCAGCAATCTCTCTAATCTTGTTTAATGACAAAATTAAGCCTTTGGATCTCTAGCATGGCCTGTCTAGTATGCCTTCCACACACAGAGCTAGAAACTCGGTGTGTGTTTTCATTCTCGGTGATTTGCTTTGAGGCCACAGCAAATGACAAATACCATGTGATGAGATCCTGTGGAGTCATCTTCAAGGAGCATGCTAGATGACTGCAGGAACTGTCACATCTGATCTTTAAAGGAACAGAACAACCCAATTCGGAGTAGCATCTCAGAGGCCCAGTTGCTGAGAGGTCTTCAGGGGCCATAGAGTACCAGGACACCTCTCACATACAAAGCTGTGTGCAAAAGTGCTAAAATAAGGGTCAGTAAGATTGATCATTGGTAAAGGTGCTGGCTGTGCAAGTCCTGACACTTGAGTGTAATCCTGGAAGCCGTGTAAGGTGTTTAGAGAGAAACGACTCCGTGCGGTTGTCCTCTGACTGCCACACACACTGGCGTTTGTGTTTCCACACCCACACTCCATGAATACATCCATGCCCACCCCCCACACATACAAAGTAAATAAAATTAAAAAACATAAATGCTAAAGAGGGGCAACTATTGATTTGAAAACTGATTTAACGGGTCACAGAACATGATGAAAGCATCATTTGATGGTCTGGAGACAAAGAGGTGGTGGTTAGTGGGTAAAGAGCTCGCTGTACAAGCATAAGGACCTAGCTTCAGAGTCCTGGCACCCATAGAACTGTGGCTTATGACTGCTTCCCCAGAAATGAAGGGAGAAGACAGGCGAGTCCAGAGAGCTAACTGGCCAGCCAGCACAGCCTAGTTGGTGAGATTTCTGGAGAGACCTGTATCAAAGACTAAAGTGGACAGCAATAAAGGAAGACATATGACCTCAAGCTCTGCCTGCTACATGCACGCACAGGGGTAACCACCCCCAACATTTGTATGCACATTCACACAAAACACACACACACACATACACACACACACTTTAGTACATGAGAGGCTTTCTTATTCACCTTTGAGAAATCTTGAATAGTTTCATAGATATCCAGCATCTGTCATAGGTAGGTGGACAAAAGCTACCATAAAAAAGAGGGTTGAGAAAGTAAAGTCTTTTTTCAGCCCTTGAAGAACTTGTTTTGGGTTGCAAGAGAATCTTAAATCTGCACTGAAGATGGAATCAAGTTCATATTCATTTGTCCTTATTGTTGGTGGGAAAGAGGGTATTGTCTTAGATTTCAAATGCCTGGGACCCACTTCTAGTGCAGTAAGTCTTAAAAGATAGCCAGAACCATATTCACATATTCCTAGGTAAGCTGAAAATATAACAGGGAGGCAAAAATTCATTGAAAAAAAATATGCCCTGGGAGAGAGGTTGATATGTTTTGGCTTGAAACAATGGGTTCATTCTTGAAGGTATGTCTAGGTAAGAATGGCCTGTAACCATGGTAGAAAGGAGAAAAATGGATGGACAACTGCCCATCACTGAAAGAAAAAAGTGACAATGAAAGTTAATTATGAACTAACTAAGGATGGGATTTAGGGAAAGCAGCTAGGGTTTCAAGCCATGATTTGTGCCTCTAACATGCAGAATCATGCAGCAAGTCTCCGGGGAGCGTCACATAGACTCTGTTTTCCACATAGATCTCTGAGTCTGGCCTAGATCTCACCAAGCATGTCCCCCAAAGGGTCTGATCTGAGAAACATGAACACACACACGAAAGAAAAAGAAAGAAAGAAAGAAAGAAAGAAAGAAAGAAAGAAAGAGAAGAGAAGAGAAGAGAAGAGAAGAGAAGAGAAGAGAAGAGAAGAGAAGAGACATCTCCCTGAATGCAGATATTTACTTTGGAGAACAGACAAGGCACCTGGAGTTCCAACTTTGGTCTCTTTAATCAGTAAAGTTATCAATAAGCATGAGATCCCTATTCTAAGCTAGCAAAGGAGGATGTAACAATGTCAAAGGAAGGTTCACATGTAGCAGGAAAAAAACATAGGTCAAAGGTCATGGTACACTAGGGTGTGCGCTATAGTAAATTCGCATGTAAGACAATGTGGCTATGAAGGCTTTAAGAAACAACCTGTTTGTTCCACATTGGTTAGTATCAGGGAAGTTAGGAGGGGGAACAACAAAGCAACAGTTGACCCCCTAAGACAAGGGTCATAGGGATAGCTGACAAGCTGTGAAAAGTGAGTTAGTGTTGTTCCACCAGCAGCCATCAGGATCCACTCAAAGAAATGAGGTCTACGCAGCCACAAAGTGGTAACCAAAAGTGGCGGTTGGAGACGTCTGGTTTTCTGCTGCTTAACGGAAGCCACAGAAGCCTGAGAGACAGGGTAGGAAATGTTCTTAGATGAGCACTGGCAGTCAACAGAGGGATGAGCCAACTGACCCAAAGAACAGACTGACTCATGACATCAGGTAGACCCAGCAGCGTGCTTCCAAAAAGGAAAAAAAGTTACATAAAATAGAATATTGAAAATGGGTTCTTTTGCAAGGTACAAGAGCTAGGGCTCTTAGGGGTCGCTTAAAAATGCTGGGGAGCCTAGAAGACCTTCATGTTTGAAGCAGTAGTTTCTTCTTGGGGAGAGATTGGGCCACTGCTGAGCTGAGAGAGGCTAGAAGGCAGTGGATAGGTAAAAAAAAAGGTTTTTGGAGAGTGGGGTCAGAAGCACCGAAGACTGATTGATTTACAGTTCCATTGAAAGTTATGGTCCCTGGATTCTGCTGTGATGGGGTGGTGGTACTGGAGTGTGATTCATCCCAGTGGCATGAGAATATAGGATTATTCTGGGCCAGACAGGATGGGTTTCTTTACCATGTGGGTCCCTCTAGCAATTTCAAGTGTCTGTCTTTCAATGGTGGGTGTCTCCAGGGTCAGGGATTCTACAAATTGTTCTTCTGGAAGACAGCCTGTGTTTATGCCATTAAGCACACCAGCCAACATTGTTGTGGTCCAGGTAGATCAGGAGGAACCAGGCAGGTTGCTACGCACGTGAAAGGAGGTTCATGGGAAGCCTCTCTGAGCAAGGCATCCCAGCATCTTCAGCTTGCAGGATAATGATCACAGGTACTTGTAAAGACCTTCAATAAATTCAATGAGCTCTGATACCTAGTGAACCTGATGACCAACACTAAATACTAGCCCCTTTCATGGAATGAAATTTCCAACCTACACAGCAATCCACAACTCTTCTAGAAAGCTCTTTAATTAATACAAGGCACATTTGTCACTTAAGGCGTGCCAGAGCCTTTGTCTTATTTTAAAGGGACAGAAAGTGGATGTGATGGGTTACAGCTGCAGCTGCTAGCTCACTGCTGTGCACAGGTGTGCCATTTGTATGTTAAGATCTTCACCCTCAGTACACCAGAATATGACGAGATTTTGAGTTATGCTATTTATAAAAGTAAGAAAGATCACTGGGGTAGGTCATCACTTGATTTTTTTTTAATATATCAAGAGTGAAATTATAGACTCAGCCATCGACAGAACAAAAGCCACAATAAAGTACTGGAGACGGAGAGAGACCAGCAGATTGGGAAGAGAGGCTAAATCAGTTCCTTCTCCAGGAACTCAGAAAGAATCAGTCCTTCCGAAGTCTTGACCTTGAACTTTTAGTCGCTAGAACTTTGAGAAAGAAACTTTCTGCCCCGAATAATGCGGCTCTACTTGAGTAGTAATGTTTAT